TGTTTTTTTTTTCATCCTAGTACTTAAATATAAAAATTATTCACCCCATCCGCTTCCCGTTCCCCCAGTTGCACAGGCGCCAGTACTGCAAAAGTCCGGGTCTGTTCATAAAGTAACTTTAAGTAGCTGTGTTACAACTCTATTCCTAGTTTTTGCATAATTCCAGAGTGAGAGGAGTCCTCCCCTCTACTTTATCGTCCCCTCTCGCCCCGCACGAATCTGCCGTGGATCCGCATATGTTTGTCAAGAGAATCGCCTCTCGGATAATCCTTTAGGAAAGACAAATCGAACGCGAACACAAAAATTGCCAGTACACTGACCACTTGGCAATGCAGCATTGGTCAATGTTATTTGCGCATATGGGGAACGCGCTCTGAGCCATAGCTGATCAAAGAATTAAAGAAAGTGTTCGGATTTATAAAGGCAAATTTGAATGTTTAAAGGTTCCGATGAAATGACGGGGTTCCGCACACTGATTGTCCGGGTAGTCTTGGTATAGTGGTTTTTGAATACTAAGAATTTCATCAACTAAGTACCTCAATTTCGAGATATCGACTTTTGTATTCAGCTACGGGCACTGAATTTTGCAATCCTTTTTCATCCAGAAAATCGCGCATTTTGGCGAATACGTTTACCGCTCGTTCACTGTTCGGCAAAGTCTGTAAAAACATCTTATTCTCTGAATCAAGTTATTTCAGTTAACACGCATTACAGCGTGGTACTTCTCTTTGTGAGTCAAATCAACAACATATTATAGCATGGTACTTCTCTTGACTATTCAGCAATACCGGTTTTAGACTTTGACCGAAGAGGATCTGGTAGGATCTGAAGGGGATTTGGACAAATTCCAGTAACATCACTAACATGGAATCCTAAATCAGTCATATGGTAGTTATACAGTAGCAATTATCCGGCCTGAGCTCCTTCCCTACAGCTTCATAAGCGAATGAAAGAACTGAAGATCGGTATGAAATGTTCAACACATGACCACTCCATCCCGAATTTCCCTGTATCAATCCTGTTTGGGGGCGCCCTCAATCCATCATCTCAATCTGATTAGCCTGTTGTGGAATTTTCATAAAATCGTGATTAAGATCAGATTAGTGCAATCAGATCGTTTTGGAGTTCACATTGCTGCTATCATATCGTTGTCCCAGTTTCATTAAGTTGTCCGGAATTTGTCATTTCCGATTGATTAGGCTGTTCCGGACTTATCAGCTTGATATTTTAATAAGTCAAAAAACATCAACAGTTTATTGCAGATCATTCATATTTTGTCGAAACAAGAATATGACTTACCCTGTTCACTTCCGAAATGTTGTAGTAAACTGTCGTTGTTGGGAAATTCTAAAAAATAAGACGATAGAAAAAAAAAACAGCAAATCTTTGTGTCAGGCATGACTAGCCAGCATGGTACGGTGGGAAATTATACACTTTTTTGTGCATTATTTCGACGATTTGGCTCCGCCGGTGGAACAGCCAATCCTTTTACGATTCGTTTCGATGATAAATTGGTACTAGCATATGCCTGCCATAAGCCGAGTGTGAAATTCGCCATAAGTTTGTCTCGAAAGAGGTAGGCCATCGATAGCTTGCTAACTGCGATTGTTGCTGGCATTTGCTACCACTCGAACTACTTCCCAGTGCCATGGGAAAAAGCGAAAACAAAGAAGGTTTGAATTGTGTTTTTTTAACAAGGATTAGCAGTACGTTGGCAAGTAAATCGAAGAAATTGCGAATTGCAGTCAAATTTTCGCCGAAAAGTTCTTTGCCGCTCCTGGATACTTCCGAGAATGTG